AGAAGGAAAAACGTATTAAGATTGAAAGAATTTGTGTGAAGAAGAGATATACAAAAATTAGGAAGGAAAGTAAGAGGAAGGAAAGACGCTAAATAAAAAAAAAGAATATAATAAATGACTCAGGGGAAAGAAAAAGGATAAAAAGAAAGACGAATTGGAGAAAAGAGAAGGAGGGAAAGTAGAAAGTATAGAGTAGGAAAGAAAGTTTAAAGAAAAAAGAAGGTAAGAAATTAGGACGGAATGAGGAAGAAATATATGAAGAAGGAAATGATGGAGAATGAATGAATGAATGAATGACAGTGTGGAGAATGAAGGAAGAAAGATAGAAAGAAAATTTGGAGAGTGAATAAATGAAGAAAAGAAGGAAGAAAGTGAGGAAAGTGTGGAAAATGAAGGAAGGAAGGAGAAGGAAGGAACACAAGTGTAGAGAATGAATGAATGAATGAACGATTGAAGGAAGGAAAAAGTGTGAAGAATGAAGGAAGGAAGAAGAAAGGAAAGGAAAATTTGGAGAATGAATAAATGAAGAAAAGAAGGAAGAAAGTGAGGAAAGTGTGGAAAATGAAGGAAGGAAGGGAGAAGGAAGGAACAAAAGTGTAGAGAATGAATGAATGAATGAACGATTGAAGGAAGGAAGGAAAGTGTGAAGAATGAAGGAAGGAAGAAGAAAGGAAAGGAAAATTTGGAGAATGAATAAATGAAGAAAAGAAGGAAGAAAGTGAGGAAAGTGTGGAAAATGAAGGAAGGAAGGAAGGAAGAAGGAAGGAAAAAGTGTAGAGAATGAATGAATGAATGAACGATTGAAGGAAGGAAGGCAAGTGTGAAGAATGAAGGAAGGAAGAAGAAAGGAAAGGAAAATTTGGAGAATGAATAAATGAAGAAAAGAAGGAAGAAAGTGAGGAAAGTGTGGAAAATGAAGGAAGGAAGGGTGAAGGAAGGAACAAAAGTGTAGAGAATGAATGAATGAATGAACGATTGAAGGAAGGAAGGAAAGTGTGAAGAATGAAGGAAGGAAGAAGAAAGGAAAAAAAATTTGGAGAATGAATAAATGAAGAAAAGAAGGAAGAAAGTGAGGAAAGTGTGGAAAATGAAGGAAGGAAGGGAGAAGGAAGGAACAAAAGTGTAGAGAATGAATGAATGAATGAACGATTGAAGGAAGGAAGGAAAGTGTGAAGAATGAAGGAAGGAAGAAGAAAAAAAAGGAAAATTTGGAGAATGAATAAATGAAGGAAATAGGAAGAAAGGAAGGAAAGTGTGGAAAATGAATGAAGGAAGGGAGAAGGAAGGAACATAATGTAGAGAATGAATGAATGAATGAACGATTAAAGGAAGGAAGGAAGGAAGGAAAGTGGGGAGAATGAAAGAAGGAAGAAAAAACGGAAAGGAAAGATTGGAGAATGAATAAACGAAGAAAAAAATGAAGTAAGGAAGGAAAGTGTGAAGAATGAATGAATGAATGACGGGAAAAAGAAGGAAAAAAGTGTGGAGAATGAAGGAATGAAAGATTGAAGGAAGGAAGAAACGAAAGTGTGGAGAATAAAGGAATGAAAGATTGAAGGAAGGAAGAAACGAAAGTGTGGAGAATGAAGGAAGAAAGAAGAAAGGAAATAAAGTTTGGAGAATGAATACATAAAGGAAGAAAGGAAGGAAAGTGTGGAGAATGAATGAATGAAGGGAGAAGGAAGAAAGACAAGTGTGGAGAATGAATGAATGAATTAAGGAAGGAAGGAAAGGAAATGTGGAGAATGAAGGAAGAAAGAAGGAAGGAAAGAAAGTTTAGAGAATGAATAAATGAAGAGAAGAAGGAAGAATGAAAGAAAGCGTGGCGAATGAATGAATGTAGGGAGAAGGAATGAAGAATGGAAAGTGTGGAGAATATATGAAGGAAAGAATAAGTAAGGAATTTATGAAGAGGGAAGGAAATCGAAAAGAAAATAAGGAGGAGGAAAGAAGCAAGATTGGAAAAAGGAAGATAGAAAGATGGAAAATAAAGAAGAAATATATGAAAATTGAAGAAATTAGCGTGAAGGAGAAAAGTACGAATAGACTAGGAAGGAAAGTAGGAAGAAGAAAAGAAGGAAGATAAAAAAGGAAGGAAAGAAAGAATGGTAAGAATAAAAGGAAAATGAGAAACTGCGAAGGAAAGAAGAAAAAGGAACGAAGGAATGAAGAAAAGAAGAGAAAAAAAAAGAAGGAAGGAAAAAAGTTATGAAATTATGGAAATTGAAAAAATATAAGAAGAAAGAAAAGAGGAAGGAAAGTATGGAGAATGAAAAATGAAGGAAGGAATGAAAGAAAGTGTGGAGAAAGAATTAAAGAAAGAAGGTAACTATGGAGAATGAAGGAAGGAAGGAAGGAAGGAAGGAAGGAAGGAAGGAAGGAAGGAATAAGGAAAGTGTGCAGAATGAATGAATGAAGGAAGATGGGATGAAGGAAATTATGACGATGGATGAGAATAAGGAACGAAAGAAAATATAAAGAAGGAATGTAGGAAAAAGGAAGATAGAAAAAAGGAAAGAAGGTATGAAAATTGAAATAATGAGTAAGAAGCGAAGAAGTGGGCCCGAAAAAAGGAGGAAAGAAAGAAAAAAGAATGAAGATATGAAGGAAGGAAGGAAATTTGATAAAAAGAAGGATGATACCAAATGAAAGAACAAAGGTATGGATGTGAAAGAAAAGAAAACAGAAGAAGGAAGAAAGTGTTAAGAAAGAAAGAAGAAGCGAAAGACCATGTTAGGAAAGAAGGAAGGAAGGAAAGAAGTATCAAAATGAAATGAATTAAGTTAGGGAGAATGATGGAAGAAAGAAAAGCAGGGAGAATGAAGTAAAGAAGGAGAGAAGCAATGAAAAATGAATAAATTATAAACGCAGAAAAAAAATTTGAAAGAATGAAAATTAGGAAGAAAGGAAAGGGAGGAAGGAAGGAAAGGGAGGAAGGAAGGAAGGAAGGAAGGAAAGGGAGGAAAGAAGGAAGGAAAGGAAGGAAGGAAAGGGAGGAAGAAGAGCAGGAAGGAAAGAAAGGAAAGAAAGGAATAGTAAAAATTAAATAATGAAATAAATGAATAGAAAAATAAAGTAATGAATATGCAAAAGAAAGAAAGAAAGAAAGAAAGAAAGAACTAATAAAAAAGAAAGTGATGATATTAAAAGGAAGAAAGGAAAGTAGGAATAAGCAAGGAAGGAAAGTAGGAAGAAGAAACGAAAGAAAGTAAGAAGAAAAATGAAGGTAATAAAAAAAATCCAAATCTAAAATCCGCCATTAGTAAAAAAAAATCAAAATCCAATTTTAGAAAAATAAAAATAAAATTTGGTATTAGTTATAAAAATCTGATACTAGTTATAAAAATAAAAACTAAAATTACGTATTCGTAGTAAAATAAATTTAAATTTATTTATAAAAATCGAAATAAAAATCCGATATTAACGATAAAATCAAAATTTGGTAATACTTATAAAGAAAAAAAATCAAAATTTGGTGTTATTGACAAAAATAAAAATAAATAAAATAAAAACTGTATTAGTGATAAAAAATCAAAATTAAAATCAGTAATAGTTATAAAAACCAAAATCCATTATCAAATAGAAAAATAAAATTCAGGTATTAGAAAAATAAAAATTAAAATCTGTTATTAGTTAGAAAAAAAAATCTGTTATTACTTAGAAAAATATCAATTAAAGTCTGTTATTATTTTGAAAAATAAAAATAAAAATATTTTATTATTTAGAAAAATAAAAATCTGTTATTAGAAAAATAAAAATAAAAATTCGGTATTAGTGATAAAGTTAGAATTAATAATCTGTTGTGAATAATAAAAAATAAAAACCTGTAAAAGTTAAAAAAAAATCAAAAACCGGTATAAGTGATAAAAAATCAAAATAAATATCCGTAAATAATTCAAAAAATAAAAATCAAGTAAAATAAAAATAAAAATCAGTTATCAATTAGAAAAATAAAAATCTGTTATTAGAAAAATAAAAATAAAAATTCGGTATTAGTGATAAAGTTAGAATTAATAATCTGTTGTGAATAATAAAAATAAAAACCCGGTAAAGTTAAAAAAAATCAAAAACCGGTATAAGTGATAAAAAATCAAAATAAATATCCGTAAATAATTCAAAAAATAAAAATCAAGTAAAATAAAAATAAAAATCAGTTATCAATTAGAAAAATAAAAATCTGTTATTCGTTAGAAAAACAAAGTCAAAATTTGGTTTTAGTTCGAAAAATAAAAATCGCTATTAATTACAAAACCAAAAATAAAATAAAAATCCTGTATTAGTAAAAATAAACATAAAAATAAAAAAATAGCATTAGAAAAATAATAGAAAAATCCGACAATTATTAGGAAAATAAAAATCAAAATCCGATGTTTGGAAAAAATAAAATAAAAAAAAATAAAAATCCGGTATTAATTAAGATGTTTAATTTTTAAAATCTTCAGTATTTTAAATTCACATAAACTCCAGTATTATTTCTAGGTTCCTGTCGATAATTTATGAATGTCTACCTTTCATGAAATGTTAACGAAAATTCGATTATCGGTCCCCACATTTGCGCGATGTTCAGTAAATTTTCACGTCAGCTAAATGATTAATATCGTGAGTTCGAATCTCATGAACGTCCTATTTTTAAGACCTTGTGCCACTCGAAGTTATACTGAGAACATGTGAAAACAAAGAGTGAAAGGAATAAAAGAGAAAGAAATCCTCAGCTATGGCCTCAGGGGACAAATTTCACGAAAGGAATGAAAGGAAATATATACAAACAGATAAATCTAACAAAGAACGCTGGAGACAACGTTTAATAAAGAAAGTGAGTTTGATGAATTTTGTGGCCGTCCTTCGGCTCCTCGAAGAACTAATTTATTCAGAAATGGCGAAAATATTAGCGAGGCATTCGATTTATTATTAAAACAATATTTGCAACATTTGTCAATTAAAAAAAGGAAAGGAAAGAAAAGAAAAAAGAAAAGAAAGAATAACATCATACCCGTCTGAAA